CACACACACACACATATATCCACTATACATACACACACACATATATATCCACTATATTACTTGTATTAGGAATTAAATCCAATCCTCCTCCTTAACTGGGAATTTGTATTGCAGGGATAAACCTCTGTGTTCAAAGCTGGGTTTTGTAATGGTTGGTCACCTTAGGGAATGAACTAGACTGAAAACTGGTGGGAGGGAAAGCATTCCTTTAGCTTCTGCTTAGCTTCTCAACATTTTTTAGCTTTTCGATGTAATTGAGTATGGCTTTGTTTCAGGCTTTCCAAGCTGAAGATTAGGGATGCTGTTTTGGGATGGTCTGAGAGGCAGTTGGTGACAGAGAGATTGCTAGTTGAGCCTTTTGCTTTCAAGTTATAGGAGCTCTTTGAGTATCTCTTACCTTCCATTCTTTTTAACCAATACTGTATATTAAACTTTGGGGTATTTGGAGTATTCCAGGTACTCATTGTATTCATTGTAGAGATAATATCCATTGATATTCTTATCAGTCCCAGAGAGGAAGAAGAAGAAAAGAAGACAGCAAAACTATATCAGTAAAATGAGCCAGAAATGGACTGGATGTGGGCCACTTTTTTTGAGGTTTATTCTAGCCAATATAAGAATGCTGTTAGTTAGCAAAACTGAAACAGAGAAAAGGTAAGCTTTCTGGATAGGATTTCAGTTTTCTTGAAAGCCAAAAAATTTGGAAATATTTCTGGACCTAACCTTGGTTCTAAAGGTTGGTTCTAAATGCCCAGATGTATTTGTGCAATAAGCATTACCCAAAAATCTGGCTTCTGATCTGGCTTCTATTGTCTGTAATGCACTGCTTGAAAAGTATTTCCAAGCTATTCCAAATGCAATATTCAGTAAGCAGGCTGTTTGTTTGTTTTTTTGTTTTTTGTTTTCAATCTCACATTACTCCAGTAAAGTTTAGTAAGCCCTGGATTCTGGCTTGTTACTGAAGTGCAGTTCAATGTGCTGATTGTTATCTAAATGATACGGAATGAGAAGGGCTACATCCTTCCATATGATTCTCCTTGATTACTTATTTCAGTACCAAATCACTTTGTATCACATTTCTCTTATTGATCTCTGTTTTACATGCAGCAATGCACAAATCATCCCATGGCAATTACTTGTCACTTAGCTATATGACATAGAAATCCACTCAGTCATGTTTCACTTTTATATGACACTAAATGTTCTGCAAATAATTGTTTTGTTCTTTTTCATTTATCTTAAAAGAATTTTTTATTTTATTTCTACACTGCATCCATATTATAGATGGGAAATAAGAGAAAGGCAGTAAACTAAGATTGCAAAACTTTCAGATTTCCTCAAAACCTTAACTGTACCCTTCACAGCCTCCTCAAAGATGCCACCAAATATTTTTGGTGCTGTAATGCTTAAGATTTCAATTTGAAGAGATTCTTCAGAACCGAAGGAAGCCCAAATGTAGCATCTCTTTCTATGACTTATTAAAGTGACCTTGTCTTTTACAGTTTTCCTAATTGCTGTGAGGTGGCTTTCACTATAGCCATGCAGTTCTTCCTGACACATCTTCTATAAGTGCTTATTTGTGCTCCTATGTATTCCAATTTGTGAAGCTTTGCACAAATTACCAAAGAAAAGTTTGTTAAATGCACAGGGAGTGATTGTTAAATACACAATAATAATATAAAATAGATATAGGAATTTCTTTTCTTTCCCAAAGTTTGAAAGTTGATCTGTAGCCTGCCACTTGTCCTTTAGTTCCAGAAACATTATCCTGCAATAGGTCAGTAATATATGTCTGCAATAGACCAATAGCTTCAAATAAAAGGCTAATTCGAGAAGTGAGATCTGGAATGGCTGAACACAAAATACGTTTGCAAAGATACCTGCTAAATGAGCTTGTATGATCCACCCAGTCACCTGTATGATATTCCTGGCCCATGTAGGACTTTTTAAAAACTACCATACACCATTCTGAAATCTGAAAATAAGAATACATAACTAAAAATAACCTCCCATAATTCTCTGGTAGAAACCACATACAGAACCTACATAACTTGACTCTGTGGCTCTATGGTGGCTCTATATTCCCATTTCCCTAGAATTATAGTGCATAATTGCTAGCTTGTAGGGATTAGATGAAGACTAAGAATTGCTGATATAGCTTCTTTGATGGTATAGACACACACACATATACGTATATATATATATTTCTTCTTGCTGCAGATCTAATGCATTTGAAGTACTGGCCCTCGATGGAATTAGCACTGGGATACTTCAGTTTTGTTCAGCGCAGGAGAGTGCTGACTGGCTGCGAGCATTATCAACTAACATCAGTGATTTGACACTACAAAATGTATGTTGTTTTCCAGATACATATATATGTATATAGTCTAGGTTCTGTTGTGTTTATTTCGCATGTAAATATTATTCAAAATAACATCTGAAGTCTCTTCTCTCTTTCATGCACTTCATTATTTATCTATATTCATAGACATTATTTCATATACCACGCTACATATATGGTATATCAGAACCACGCTACATATATGGTATATCAGACCTTCATTTTTTTATAAACCATTTGCTTTAATTTGGAAGGAAACTGTCTTCTGAATCATCACTCTTTTGAATATGGATCTTACACTGGTTTTGTACTGAGGCTGTCCCTTCCCTGGCTTCTTAAGAGGCAATTTTCATCAGAAAACTATCATAGAATCCAATCCACTGGGAACCTGTTCTAAATTATGACATATGGTTCGTGGCTGATAAATACATACAATCAATTTATCAGGACTGTGAAGATGTTACCTGACTTTCTCCTGTGCCTAAGTTCTTACCAAAAGCACACAGCCCGTCTGTCAGGCTAGAGATGATTAACTTCAATGCATAACTTAATTTTAGCATGCAAACTTTACTTTACTCAGATGACTTTCTCCCAACTTCAGTAAAATAAGCTAGAATGAGATCAAGAAATTAGATCTATTTTGTCATTATTCAGTTGTTCTTGTCCATTATGATTGGGAGAAACATTGTACAGGGAAGACAAGCTTTTTTCTTGAAAATCAGATTACACTGTGCTACTCTGATCATTTGTATTATTAACAGTTTAATTAAATTGTGAGTGCTTTATTGAATAGGGTATGTTTAGGTGTGGAATAAATAGTTGGGTGTATTTGAAAGATACATTGCGCTGCTTACTCTCTACAAGTAGCCCTTGGTCTACAACCATTCATTCAGAAACCATTTGAAGTTACAACGGCACTGAACGAATGGTAGTTATGACCAGTCCTCGGAGTTCCAACCATCCCAGCACCCCATGGTCATATGATTACTACCAGTTTGCACTTTGCTACCAGTTTGCACTTGCAAATGGTTGCATGACTCTGCGATCACATGATTATCATTTGCTACATTCCCTGCTGGCTTCCCCACCTGCTCACCTTCTCTCAGCCCCTCTGCACTTGTGGTACACCAGCTATTTGTGCACCCCCATGTATCCATGTACTCTTCCTGACTCACACTGCACCCCCACAACCCCTTTTCGACTCTTGCTGTACCCTTGAACACCCATCCCACCCTATAATCTGGCACACCCTCCCCAACCTGCACTGCATTCTTTCTTACCTCCGCCATGGCTCTTGCACACACATGCTCTCTCTCATCAACCTGCACAGCTGCCCTTCATTCACCGTCATTTATCCGCACCACACCTCTCATATACCCGATGCACACACCTTCACACACTTTACCTGATTCATACCATGGATATATCAGCTGGTATTAAGTTTTCTTCAGTTTTTCTTAAAAAGAGTTGATAATGAAGTAGATTTCCATGAATAAAACACATTGTATAGTCCTTAAGCATTACAGAGATTATTTTTTCTAGTTAAAATGTATTTATACTGAATTTATTCCAGTTGTAATTTGTATATTCCTTCCCTAAATTCCTGTGACCTGTAAATAAATATCCGCCATCCAGAATCTGGTTGTATCCCAATTACGTACTCATGATAGTACAGTTCAAAGAGGTTTTTACTCCCTCCCTCCCCACCCCCTTAAAAAAGACTTAATCTGTCCAGTTTACTTTGCCTTCCTGCTGATTGGGAGAAGCCATTTTTTATTCAAATAATTAGCTACCGTGCTACATCCCATATTTTCTGTTTGTAACATTTGTAGTTGGAATGTAAGTATTTACATTAGCAAAGCCAGCCCTCCTGCAGACTGCAGATTGCTTGGGTTTTGTTTAGAGCATGTCATACACTGCTTAGTTGAATACAATGGGAGCAAGGCTCTTTAGCCACTGAATAAAATGGGATTAATAAATAATCCCACACCCTCTCTAAAGAAGGAACAGCTGGTCTAGCTGTGGGACTGAATAGCTGCATCTTGTAGAATGGCTAGCACAACGGGGTTCCTGGGGGACTACTGTGTGACAATTTTGTAATACTGAATTTTCAGAGTGGGAAGCAGCATATGGTGTATCCTTGGCTGCCTGCCAAACTGTCAGCACCTGCTGGCAAAATGTTCTCCTTTCTTATTCCAAGTAAAACTCGCTTAATTCTTTAGACTGCAATAGGAACAAGGGCATACCTGTGTCCTAATTATTCACACGTAGGTAAGGCTAAATGAGAAAAACATTGAACGAAATGTCATAGATGGAGAAAGAGCCTACGAAAATTGACGATCTACAGAGATGTTTAATGATGACTTGAAAGAGGAGCAGCTCCTCTCAAAGAATCTGGCGAGAACAATAAACCATGTGGACAAAACCAGTGTTGCTCTTTTCAGCACAGGCAGCAGCTCCATGTACATGTAGCTTTTTTTCTCTCTCCTGTAAGTTCAAGAACAGCATATCAATCATTTTGGATTCTTTTGGACTTTGTACTTCTGGCAAGGAAAAACTTTTTCCATTGAAAAGTAAGACACATGAGCAAAAGACAGCAGTTAGCCAGACTGTTTTGAAAGAAACAGTTTCTAATTGAAAGCCCATGCCTTTCTGTTTCACGGATGGTGGAAAATTCCACAAATCTGTCTTAAGGGCTGGTCTATCTATACCTTGAGCTGGGTGACCTCAGAAAACAGAATTACGTTATCGGAACCAAAATTGCGCCTGCCTTTAGGAGCTTCTTAAAGGCATCTCAGATGCTATGTTAAAGAAGGCTTTGATCTGAGTTCTCTTTCGTAGCAACATAATTTTTCATTGGAGAGTATGACTGGTACTTGAGGGACACAATCAAATCAAATTGCATTTATTTTTCATTATCATGTGATTCTAGTTTGAACTTGCCTGTGCTTAATCCCATTGATTCCAATGCAATTTGTTGCCAAATGCCGTATGTGTTTTCAGTATCATTATTATTATTTTTTTAAAGAAAGGATTTTCATGAATTGGGTCATCAGTTATTTACCTATGACCTTATTCACTGAGAAGTATTAGAGCACAATTAATATATTTCTAAAAATAGGTTTGAAGCATAAGGCTTGTGGCTTTCAAAAAGGTTTCATTTCCAAATGCATTTGGTGTAATTTTTATTCTGATTGTGCCATTGTGAACTGGGAACCTATCGTGTATTGCTCTGTTGTAACCAGATTGCTCTGACTATTTTCGTGTTGAAAAAGTTGAAATAGCTGAATAAGAAAGATAGAACAGTGATGCAGGAGAAATACTATGTATAGTAAAAATCAATCTGTAGGGAATCCTTTTTAATGAGCCACATCAACCTGAATTCCTGCCCAGTTTGAGCTAAAAACTTTTTCTTTGAGAGAAATTGCCCAGCTGATTAATATGAATGCAGCATTCTGGTGTAGTTCATTATTTATAAAGGAGCTATTGCTCCAAGCTTCTTTATTGTCAGTACTGCTTATCAGTAACTTCACTACATTTCTTTTTTGGGAAATGAAGGTTTCTTTAAGGCAGAGGTCAGCTGACAAAATTTAAGGATTAAAGGAACAATAGTATTTTTAAAAAAATATCCAGAAGAATTCTAGAAAATCTAAAATTGGTTCCTCTTCTACATTTTGATATCAGGGTGGCAAAAATTCAATGTCTAACACATGTCTAACACATAGTTTACCTACAATATAGAAAATCCCATTCCCAAGCAAAGCAAAACAGACATTGTCTGAAGTATCAATAGTACCCACAGATAATCAATATATATTTATATTATATAAAAATATATTTAATAAAATATAAATATTTATTATATTTAAATAAATAATTTTCCTCCCAAGCCAAATGTGACTTGTTAAGAAGAAGATTTTCTTTATTAGAGACCCTCCTTCACTCCTATCTCCAGTGTAGCTTTCAGTGAAGTTTGTAGAGCATAAATTAGTTAGGATGGGAATGTGCATTTGACAATGACAGAAGAACGTATGTTTTACTTTTTATTTGCTGTAAAAAAGGCAGTTCTTAATCTAACTTTTTAAATTAACATGTTAATCATTGTCATAATATACAATTGTAAGACAAAGGCAACGTCTTCTACAATGGTGGCATGTTTGATATATGGGACATACTTCCAAATATATCTGTGTAAGATATATACTTCTTTTGCTATCTTGTTCTCTATTTTTTACTTGTTCCTTATTTATCTTGAATTTTAAAAAAACTTACATTGTCATTTTGGGCAGCTTCTAACCCTATTACTACTACTACTCAGAATCAAGTTCTGTTTGCTGTTTTTTGTATTTGTATATATAGCCTGTGAAAATATCTTACAGTGTTTCTTTTGATACTTTATGGTTAACAACCCTGAGAATTGTGAAGTCAGTAATTTCATATGTGTTGAGGTAATTCCCCGTTAGGAGAATGAGTGCATACAGGGAGACGTATTTGAGAGTAGTGTTTGAATAATACACATACAGCACACAGATACACTGTACAGTAAATGTAGGGTTTTACTTTCAATAAAGGTTTAAGCAAAGTTCAAAATAGGCAGTCCAAAGTCATTCACAGTTAAATCAGTCAGTTTTTTCAATCCAGGGATAATCCAAATATCAAAGTCCAGTGTCAAAAAACAGTTCAGTATCAGACTTATATTAAATCCAGTAATATCAGTCAATTAGGAAAAATGGAGGAACGGCAATACTTTCCAAAAGAAGGAAACAGAGATACTCACTCAGACACACTCTCTTCTGAGACTAAGACTAAAACAAACCAGGTTTCTGGCTCCATCTTATGGCTGTTTGAGAAACCACACCCAATTGCATGCTCTTGCATTCCCTTAAAGACACAGTATTAAAATGTCTATCCTGGTTTATATATTTCTAACCCAAATACCTGTTAGGTGACTTATATTCCTAACATTCTCCCCTTTTGGGTAAGATAATATATACAACCTTACATTCTAA